TCAAGATAGCAGCTGAAGAGCAAATTTTAATATTTGTATTGCCACCCAACACCACTCATTTAACACAGCCACTTGACAAAGGGTGTTTTGGGCCATTAAAAACTGCTTGGAAGGCTGTGTGTCATGAGTTCTGCACTAAAAACCCTGGTCGTGTGGTAACCAGATACGATTTCTCTGTATTATTTGCTGATGCATGGAGAAGGTATATGACACAGAGAAACATTGCAAGTGGCTTTGAAGTAACTGGCATATGTCCTTTCAACAGAAATGCTATTAAAGCTGGCAATGACAAGCAAGAAACCATCAGCCGTTCACTGTTAGACCAGACTGGTCTAGCATACATACCGCTCTATAGTCCAGACATAAAGAGAACGAGGGATCATAATACTTCATTCAATTCTAGTCTCTTGGAGAGATCACTTTCAGAGAATGATTTATCACAAGCTGTCACTCCAATGCAAAGAGTAATGCCTATAGAGTCTTTTCTGAAAACTCCTAGTCATCCCAGTAGCAAGCCCACCCTGAAACCTAAATCATGTGGAAGAGTATTGACTAGTGTTAAATTCATGACATGTATAAAGGAAAAGGAAAGAATGAAGCAGGAAGCCTTGAAGGAGAAGGAGCGTAAAAGAATTGCTAGACTTGAGAATCAGAAGGAAGCTAATAGAGTAAAAGAGTTGAAGAGAAGTGCAAGTAATATATCTTATTGTGAAAAATTAAATCTGATATTGGACCAGATTTTACTATGAGTGAGCACAGGCAATTTTCTAAGAGGTTTGAAAATGGGTATGACATTCCAGATGAGAGGTATGAGTTATGGGTTCAGTTATATCGTCCTAATATGACATCTCAAGGTGGGTGTTGTTGAATTCATATTATTATGTTGAACATAATGTATTTATTAATATTAAGATTCAAATGCTGAAGATGAAGACCAAGATTCCTTGAGTAATGGTATGTAACAGTAAATTAGTATTTCATTCATTGGTAATTGTAGACACTGATGAAGGAGAAGAGCTTTCAATGAGTGCTGCAAACAGTATGCATGAAACATAATATTATTCTATAATGCTTTATAATTGTGTAGGCATAGAGACACAGACACATACTGTCACAGCTAATAACAGTAAAGGCCTTTAAAATTAACTGCAATACTTTTTATTATTAATGTAGGAGCAAAAAGAGTTGCACCTATCAAGGGAACCATTGCTACTAAAGGTATTCGTATCACTATTAATTATTCTGATTTATTTTTAGAGACAGTTGATGCCTCTGTTACTTCTAATGCTAAGAAGGCTGTGAGGTCTAAAGGTATGTCTCAAATAATTTATGCTTGTCATTATTTTTTAATTAGAGACAGCAATCGCTGTACCTACTACTAGGAGTGTTAGATATAAAGGTATTGTAATATTAATAATTGTTAATGTAATGGTTCATGATAATAGAGAGAGTTTTACCTATTAAAGAAAGTGTTAGAGCTAAAGGTATTTATTAAGTTTTTTTGTTTATTTTTATCTATGCAAGTATAGAGACAGTTGAACCCACTACAGATATTAGTACTGCAGCCAAAGAGAGCAATAGAACTAAAGGTACTATTATGTAATTTTTGAACAAAGACAATTGTGCCTGCCTACGCAAGTGTTACAGGTTTTTAATTGTTATTATTGACTTATGTAGAAATAGAGAGAGTTGTACGTACTGCTAAGGGGTGTAAGGGAAGTGTTAGAACTAAAGGTATTAATATACTAGCTTTTTGTAAATGTTGATGTAAATGTAGAAACAACTGTAAGTCCTGCTAATGCAACTACTGCTAAGAAAAGTGCTAAAGGTGTCACATAATTCTTTTATTTTATTTTATTATTTTAAATATAGAATCAGCTGATTATCCTACTGCAAAGAAGAGTGTTCAAAGTATACAATAATTTATTTTGCTATTAATTTTATAGTTTATGCTTAGGTGCACATAGAGTTGATACAAGAAGGAGTGTCAGAACTAAACGTAGTAAAATTTTTATTATTATTATCTTTATTATTATTATTTTTTTAATTACAGAAATGGAAAGAGTTGGACAATGTACAGTGAATAATGGTATTGCTAAAGGTATTTATTTTTAATTAATAATTTATGATGATTTATTATTTAATGATACAGATGCAGTCCCTCCAACTACTCATGCTACCAAAAGGAATGTTAAATCTAAAGGTAAAGGATAACATCTTGACATAGTCTAATTATACTACAATAATAGTCAAGTCTGATTGTTCCCTACGACAATGTTCACATCCTGATGAGTCTAATTGGGTCTTTTGTTGCAGCTGCAACCAGTGGTATCACTGTTATTGTTATAAAATTTCATTTCAAAAGGCGAAATCAAAAAACTTTAAATTTACATGTAACAACTGTAAATAATAACTAATTTTAATAATAATCAATAATGTTAGGCGTGTCCGTTTATTGTAGAAGAAGTTAAATATTTTTTATGGTAGCTGAGTGTACCTAAGAAGCCGGCTGTGTGATCCTTTTTGAAGAAGACAGTCGGTACTAAAGTTCTGGTGGTATAAAACTATTCTTCGAATAAAGCTTGCTTCGTTGTGGTTAAGTGACGAAAATTGAGTGAACTCGGCCGATTATCGTGTGAATCCACGAAGTGTGTTTAGCAAGTTATATCTTTACAAAGAAAGAAGGTGATCCTTTGATTTTTACCATGCAAACAGGTATTATAATGATCTATATCTAGTGCAAAAATCACTGTTTTTGTTGTTTTTGTTATTATTATTATTGTCATTATTAGTTATTCGTAGACAAAGAGAGAGTCAGAAAGATTGTACAGTACGATAGAGAAGTGCACCAGGTAATTAAATTATTTTATTATTATTATTATTATTATTATTATTATTATTATTATTGTTATTAGTTACTTGTACACAAGTAGTGGGTCAGAAAGTTATTACAGTACAAAAGACTGAAGTTCACCAGGTAATTAAATTGTTGTTGTTGTTATTGTTATTATTATTATTATTAATATAATTATTGTTAGTTACTCGTACACAAGGAGAGGGTCAGAAAGATAGTATAGTACAGAAGAGAAGTGCACTAGGTAATTAGATTTTGTTATTATTATTATTATTATTATTATTATATTATTATTATTATAAAAATAAAAATAACGAACATGTACTATTATTATTATTATTATTATTATTATTATTATTGTTAATATTTGTTACTCATACACCAAGAGAGGGTCAGAAAAATAGTGCAGTACAAAAGAGAAGTGCATCAGGTAATTAAAACAAAACCTTACCAGTAAAACTTTTTACATACCATATAACTTTCATACATCATCTATTGAAAAAATTTGCCATTTTTTGTTGTGGGTATTATACAGTGTAATTGTATTTGATGTAATTTGTCTATGCTGTCTTTACTACCTATACTACATGTATATACCTGTATTGGGCGAATTATCAGCATAGAAAAAAAACATTTAATGGATGCCTATTTATTAACAAAATGTGGCATGCACCATTGTAAATGTTTAGTTTTGCCTTGTGAGCATTTTTGCCTTATTACCTTTGTTAGAGTGTCTACATGTAGATTTATGTTTATTAAACTTGAAGTTATATGTGTGTACCTTAATAGGTCCGTAAAAACTTGGCTGAGAGTACTAATACTAGTACAAAGTTAACAGCTCTACAATTTTTTGTTTTTATTTACTGATTGTTTTATGTTGTTATTTTTAATGATCAATTTTTTATTATTCTTATTTTTAAAAGTAATATGATTATACAGATAAAACA